CTGATCTCTCGGAACTACTGGTGGTGGCCCCAGTTGTCTCAACACGTCGGCCGGTATGTGGCCACCTGCGACCTGTGCTGCCGAACCAAGGCGCTCCGCCAACTCCCAATCGGGGAACTCCATCCCACGGAGGTCCCTTCGGAGCGCTGGGAAGCGGTGTCAGTTGACTTCATTGTGCATCTGCCAGACGCTCACGGGTATGATGCTATCATGGTCGTTGTTGACATGCTTGGGAAGCGCAGCCACTTTATAGAGTGCCATACCCGGCTCTCCGGTGAAGGTGCCGCCAGGCTTTTCTACAAGAACGTCTGGCGCCACCATGGGCTGCCGTCTAAGTATGTCTCTGACCGCAGCTCCCAGTTCATAGCAGAGTTCACGCAGGAGCTGTGGAAACTCGTCGGGGTCTCATCGGCAATGTCTACCGCTTGGCATCCACAGACGGACGGCCAGACCGAGCGTGTGAACCAGGAGCTCGAGCAGTTCCTCCGGATCTTCACCAGCTACAACCAGGACGATTGGGACGAGCTGCTTCCCGCTGCAGAGTTTGCCTACAACAACCATATTCACTCATCCACGCAGCAGGTCCCGTTCATGACAGATACCGGTCGACTCCCTCGTATGGGCTTCGAACCGAATGGACTACGCTCAGCTGTGAACGAGTCGGCAAACGACTTCCGCGACCGCATCGCGTCTGGAGTGGCAGAAGCCAAGTCGGCACTGGTGAAGGCAAAGGATGAGTACAAGCAGTACTACGACCGCCGGAGGGTCTCCGCTCCAGACATCAAGGTCGGAGATCGAGTCTGGCTTGACGCTTCTGACATAGCAACAACGCGCCCGTCCCTCAAACTCTCTCACCGACGGCTGGGTCCCTTCAAAGTCACCCAGGTTGTTGGGCGCGGTGCTTACAAGCTTGACCTCCCTCGCCGCCTCTCTGGTCTTCACCCGGTCTTCCCCGTTGTCAAGCTGCAGCTCGTTGAGGACGACCCGTTCCCAACACGCCCGGCTCGCGAGGAGCCGCCACCCGTCATGGGCCAAGGAGCTGGCGAGGAGTGGGAAGTCGAAGAGGTCCTGGACGCCAAGATGCGCTACCGGAGCATTTGGTACTTCGTGCGGTGGAAGGGCTACGATTCGTCGCACGACCAGTGGGTTAAGCACTCTGATATCTTCGCAGAGGACGCTATAGCGGCATTCTACCGCAAACACCCCAACAAGCCACGCATCATTGCCGCCGCCATCTTCGACTCCCTTCCGTTCCAGCACCCCTCTGCCACCATCCGCACGTTGCGTCGAGGCGCCGCAATCCAAGGGGGGGGTGATGTCAGGGGAACCCCCGCTTCGGACCGCTCTGCCTTCGATCAGGCATGTGATCGCGCTCGCGTGACCTGTCAGCTGTCACGCGCCGCGGCCCAAACTGCCGTGCCAAGCGCTTCTCTCTGATGGGCACATGGTCAGCTGTCCCATCGTTTCCACTGTCTCGGTTTCCTATTGTTCTCCAATGGCCATTGTACTTATTGTTCCCATTGTTCTTTGTTTGTCGCTGCGCGCTCTATTGTTCTTGTATCATATAAATAGTGGCGCTTGGCAAGGAGAATCCCCAACACGGTTTCTCTTTGGATTCTCCCTTGCCAGGTATGCCGGTCTTGTACCTAGCTACCACTATTGACACTTTGGATTCTCCCTTGCCAGAACTCTGAGATCGGGTCTCGAGGTTGCCCTTACAGGCAGTGAGAATCCTGCAGATATGTTCACCAAGAACCTAGGACGCGTCAAGTTCGAGAAGTTCAGGTCCCAACTAGGACTTGAGTTCAACTCGTCCTGAAGGAATGGCCGATGAAGATTTCGCTTTCAAACACTATCCTGTGGTTTTCAGCGTGGGGGAGTGTTGATCAAATGATGATCTTATCATCTGCCAGATGGATGTCGTGATACACATCTTATGACTCCATCACGTGTCATCTAGAGTCATGTCGATTCGCCCTAAATAGACACAAATAGCCCCCTGTATTGTATATAAGGAGGGCTCTATTACCCTTTAATGACAAGTCTCTTGACTACTCCCGCATAGTGCCCACACTAAGCTCTCACTCACACAGGTGAGCTGCTAGACGCTCTCCCCAGTGCTCAACACATGAAGCCCTTGATGTAATGCGAATCCCTGTCGGTGATGATCTTGCAAGGGATCCCGTGGTAGCTAAAGACTCGGTCCCTGGTTAATTGTGCGACTCCTTAACTGCTGATGTCAGTACTAATTGGTTCGACATGGATCATTTTGGTGAAGGTGTCACACTACACATGAATTGCATCATACCCATTACTGACCGGCAAGGGTCCGATTTGATCCATGGAGATGATTTCCCACGGCACGTTTGGAACTGCATGTGGGTGCAGGGTTCCCGTCCTTGCTCTTCTGGTCTTGGTTCGTTGGCACACCTCGCACGTCTGGATGTATTTCCGAATTTGGTTTCCCATCCTTGGCCACCAGTAGTTCCTTTCCACCATCTCCTGCGTTTGGTTGATCCCGGCGTGTCCGACCAAAGGTGTGTCGTGGTGTAGTCCAATGATCCTGTCCCGCAGCTCCTTGTCCCTTGGTACGTAGAGCTTCCCATGGTACGTGATGAGCCCATCCTCCTTTTTCCATCTGACGAGTGACTTCTCCAAGGCCGCTTTGACGCTTCCATCAATTGATCGAGTAGCCTTGATCTCATCGATTATGTTGGGGAAAATGGGTCAAGGGGGTTGATTAGGCAATGATAGAGTAGTTTGCAATAGCAAATGAGGAATAAACTTGAATTGCTTTAGGGCAAACTGATGCCCGTACACTACATACAAGCTGAGTTATATAGTAGTAATACTAGTAATCTAGAATATTCTTCTATTTACCGGTATATGACTAAAGACAATTATCTAATGATCTGGAACGTTCCGGGACAGCTGAGCTGCATCCCGGGAATACTACTGAAATTCAACAGATTAGCTGCTGGTCTTGCCCCTCGAATGTGACTTCTTGTGATCGGAAGAACTCGGGCTTCAGCAGGGTGACATCCTTGTTGTTGTTCTTGCCCTGATCGTGATCCGCTCGTCATGATAAGAGATCCGCCTTGCGGTTGAGTGCGCTGGTGAAATGCTGAGGGCGCGCTCACAGATGAATCTACTAAGAAAAAAAACCCAAATATAAACACGTTCACACTCCTCATAATCAGCTTCTCAGTGTGTGAAAGATGCGAGGGCTTTGGGGTGGACAGAGCACCAGTATCACAACTCTCAATAGACGCAGATCAATAGCCGCGGAAGACGAAGTCGACGACAAGAATTTATATATAGCAAACAGTGGTGTCTCAACCAATATCTTCTATACGAGCACAACCAACACTAATCCAATCACAACCAACAATATAACAAGTCAGAGCTTAATACGAAGTATTAAGATCCCTTGTAGCGACAGCGTCCAGATGGCGACGCAAAACCCAAATACCGAGTCGACGGACTGCCAACCGACACAACCAAAAGTACTGAGTCAACGCACTGCCAACTAGTAAACCAAAATGCCGCGTTGACGCACTGCCAACTAACAGCCAATATCCAATGTCCAAAACCCGAGCACAACTTGTCAACGCACTGCCAAGCTAGAGGCATGGAACGATCTCAACAAAGCCCAAAGGCGACGACACTAAATGCCGCGACTAAACCAGATGCGGCAAATCCGACTTTCTGATATCTCAACTCAAACTCAAATCACAGTAGCTACAAGTGCTCAGGGAGCAACTCGTCGCGACCGGGCAGGGGTGGCAGAACTTCTTAGGGTGGAATCACGCGGCACGCAAATTGTACAAAACAATCTGAAATGAGAGTGATTCACAGTCCGGGGGAAAGCTTTTTAATACAAAGAAACGTCGTGCTACTTATACTGTCTACGACGATGCTTAGTAAAGTCCTGTACAACTGCATAGTAGCTACGCTATCTAAGATCGGTTGCCTTTTAGGGTAATTGAAAAGTTGAACAATCGGGCAGGTCCTGAGTGATCAGGACCCCGCCCCATAGTCCATATGATACTTTTGATGTGGGTCAACCCACCGCGTCATACTTTTGGAATACGACGTGTTGGATTGGCCAACGGGTATGTCTTGGCATGTGAGACCAACGTGGGCGCCCCAAGAAGCCGTATGGCCCTAGGCACGCCAGTCGTCCCTCACATGGTTCGGTTCACGGATCTAGCCGTGCCGATTTTAGTGTGTTTAGGTATGGGCGCGACTCGCCGTGACACTTGGAAGTGTCACCGCGATGCGTCCACAATGTCTCGTGATCGAATGGATCCTGACATGTGACAAGTCGTCGTCGTGGCATGATCTGAGGAAACGTCCAACTCAAGACCGGGAGTTGCCGCGACAAGATTGGTTCAATCTCGTAGCGCCAAGTCCTGTCCAGTAGTAGTTGTAATATTGAGAACGTTGCGCATTGCTCAGCCCTTCAGCCCAAGTTCCCATCTGCAGAGAATGACCCTTTTCGAGAAGTCGACACAACGACAGATCCCTTTTTGGGGAATGGTCGCGGTCCAAGCGTTCGTCACTAATGGCCCTGAGCCTGGTGTAGACTCATAAGACCAGTTCCACAGTAGTGGTCTGACTGCCTTGCTATCGTCGACACTATCCACAGTCGTCGACTGGGCAGTAGACCCTTAAGTCCTACTGAGCGCAACACTGTCACCCGCGACACGATACACCGAATGGTTCAAGAGTAAACTCTGTAAAAAGCGCAAAAATACGCCCTTACAGAGCTGGTGCAGAGCGCGTCTGGTAGCCAGCCTATCACCGTGTCGGTCTTAGTGTATCTGGGTATGGGCGCGACTCGCCGTGACACTTGCAAGTGTCACCGCAACGCGTCCACAATGTCCCGTGATCGAATGGATCCTGACATGTGACAAGTCGTCGCCATGGCATGATCTGAGGAAACGTCCAACCCAAAACCGGGAGTTGCCGCGACAAGGTTGGTTCAATCTCGTAACGCCAAGTCATGTCCAGTAGTAGTTGTAATATTGAGAACGCCGCACATTGCTCAGCCCTTCAGCCCAAGTTCCCATCTGCAGAGAATGACCCTTTTGAGAAGTCGCCGCAACAAAAGATCCCTTTTGGGGAATTGTCGCGGTCCAAGCGTTTGTCACTAATAGCCCTGAGCCTGGTATAGACTCATAAGACCAATTCCACAGTATGTAAGGGCAACCTCGAGGCCCGATCTCAGAGTCCTGACAAGGGAGAGTCCAAAGCGTCAGATAAGAGGATCGACTAGTACAGGAGACTGGCAAACCTGACAAGGGAGAGTCCAAAGAGAAACCGAGTTGGGGACTCTCCTTGTCAGGGCCCACTATATATAGCCTACAGAACAATGGATGACCAAGCACAATGGAAGCGCCAGACAATGGGGCCAGGGAACGATGAGGGGCCGGATCGGGGGGAACAATGGGAGCCGGACCGTCGGAACAATGGGGGTCCGGGCCGGAGTGTCATGTGGACGTGCTTGGCAGGGAAGTCCGGACCGAAGCATGTGACGCTTGACAGATGGCACGTGCGCGGTCACATGCGAGATCCCATGATGATCGGACGAAAGCAGTGGTTCCCCTGACACAGTAGTGGTCTGACTGCCTTGCTATCGTCGACACTATCCACAGTCGTCGACTGGGCAGTAGACCCTTATGCCCTACTGAACACAACACTGTCAACTGCGACACGATACACTAAATGGTTCAAGAGTAAACTCTGTAAAAAGCGCAAAAATATGCCCTTATAGAGTTGGTGCAGAGCGCGTCTGGTAGCCAGCCTATCACTGGGAGCTGCAGGACTGGGGTAGAGGTAACAGCGTTCTTCAGCGCAAGAAACGCAGCTGCCTCGTTGGCGCCCCAAGTCCATGCCACGTCCTTCTTGGTGAGGTCAAAGAGAGGACGGGCAATGTGCAAAAAATCCTGGATGAACCTCCGGTAGAAGTTAGTGAAGCCGAGGAACTGCTGCACTTCCTTCTTGTTAGCCGGAGCTGGCCACTCCGCCACACCTGCGACCTTGACCGGGTCCATCTCCACATGGTTGTGGGAAATGATCACCCCAAGGTATTCGATCGAAGGCATCTTGAACTCGCATTTCTCCGCGCGAAGGTAGAGCTTGTTCTTGCGGAGACGTCGGAGGACTTTGTTCACGATTTCCCGGTGACGGTGGATATCGGAATGTGTGATGAGAATGTCGTCGAGGTACACCATAACGTCGCCAGAGAGGATGAGGTCCTGAAGTATGTCATTCATCATCGTCTGGAACGTTGCGGGGGAGTTGGTCAGGCCGAAATACATCACCAACGGCTCAAAGAGCCCGCGGTTTGTCCGAAACGCTGCCTTCCACTTGTCGCCTTGACGAATGCGCACGTTGTTGAAGCCCCAGCGAACGTCGAGTTTGGTGAAGAACCGAGCTCCCTTGAGCTTGTTGATGAGATCATTGATCAGGGGGAGCGGGTAGCGGTTCTTCACTGTCATCGCGTTTAGTGCTCAGTAATCTTGGACAAACCGTAAGCTGCCATCTTTCTTCTTCACAAAGAAGACGGGAGACGCCATGGGCAATTTTGATGGCCGAATCCTGCCAGTAGCCATGCCCTCCTCGATGAAGCTGTTGAGCTGCTTCTCTTCGAGAGGAGAGATGGGGTAGACCTTACAGTTGGTCGGCTTCGCGTTGGGGACCAGTTCAATGGCGTGATCCCAGGGGCGTCGCTCTGGCAGGTTGTCGAAGGACTCCTTGCTGAAAACATCTTCGAACTCGCGGGCCCACTTGGGGATGGTATCCCGAGGAGGTGCAGAGTTCTTAGCGAACACCTCGGCAAGTCGCTGAGAGACGGTGCTGGTGGCTCGGATGTTTTCAGAAGGGTTGAAGCGGGTGTAAAAGATACGGTCACCGGCTTCCAAGGAGTCGTCATCTTCTTCGACATCTTCAGGGTCATAATCGTCCGAGTCTGGCGAAAGCTCCGGTATCTCTTCGTCCTTGTGGTCCTCAACGTCGACAGCGCAGATGGATGGAACCGGACCTTGTCTGATGGTGCGGAGCACCCGGGCTGCGGTTCTGGCAGATCGACGTTCTTCACGAAGTTCCTCCCGGCAGGTGGAGCAACCAGAAGGGCAACAGCTCATCTTTACCTCCTGGGTATCCCAGTTGATCTCCGGGTTGTGCTTCTGGAGCCAGGAGTACCCTAGAATGAGCTGCTGCTTGCCTAAACGGGTGACAGCAAGCTGCACGCGTTCACTGTGGCCCTGGTAACAGAGAACCACATCAGCAACTTCGCGAATGGAACCGGCCTCGTTCGGTGTGCCGTCCACGTTGTAAACGGGGATAGGCTGGGTGAGGCGACGAACAGGGAGGTGATTTTTGAGGACGTAGGCCGAGTCGATGAAGTCGGATGTGGCACCGCAATCGACCAGGCCTTTGAGAGATAACTTCACTGCGTTGTCGGTGGACTCGATCTCGAGGGGGAGGTGGAGAGAATTGGCCCCAGGAGAGGCGGCAGCGACATAGCAGGAAGGGAGCTTGCGTTCCCACTTCTCCTTATGGACTCGTGGGGTTAGAGGGGGAGCAGGGTGTACGTCTATCGCTTCAACTGTTGCAGAGTGGAGGGAATTGGATTCATCATACAAACAGGAGAAACGATTACGTGAAGCGAACGAGGGCGTACTACTCACTCGTTGCTGGGGAGAAAACCCTGCTCCTCCTCGGCTGCGACGTTGGACGCATGATCCGCAACGGCTGCAGTGGTCGCGACCCAAGCAACCAACTTGGAAAGCAGATCACTCCCCAGCTGATTGATGACCTCATCAAGGACATCAGCGTGACGTATGTCAGCTGGGGTGGGGCAGTCACGGGCAAGATGACCCGGACTGCCGCAGTGGAAGCAGGTGCGTTGAATGTCACCACGGAGCCGGGCCCGGTCTACCTCCATGGGAATTGGATGGGCGACGGGGGCGGGCGCCGGGCGGGCAGCGAGGGCCGGTGCTACAGCAGGGAGCACTGGGGCACGAGGACGGGGGGCAACAGCAGGCGCTCGGGGAGGAGGCGCTGCGTGGCCTCGAGAAGCTCTGGCAGCGAGTTCCGCATTGTACTGCCGGAACGCACGGACACGCCATTCGGCGTAGTCGGTGAGGCTGGGAGGGTTACCAGAGGTGGTGATGGCTTGGTTGATCTTCGGGTCCAAGCCCGTCCTATATTTGGTCACCTTGACCAAGTTGTCGGTATAACCAGCGAGGTCAAGGAGGTCGTCGTACTCGTCCGTGTACTTGAATACGTCACGGGAGCCCATATAATACTGATGGGTTTCCAATTGCGCCAAGGCGTGGTCTTGCTCGTTCTCCTCGACGAATCGGAGCTTGAACTCGGTGACGAACAAAGCCCAAGTGGGAAATGGGAACGGGGTGCGCTCGGACATGCGCTCAGACCAGGAGGCCGCCGAGTCCTTGGACATGTAGGAGAGGGCGAAGCGGACTACCTTCTCCTCAGCGACTACCCCATTCACGAAGAACGCCTCAGGAAGCAGTCGCCAGTACTGCTTCACCGAGTGCAAGAAGCTCTTGCCCAAGGTGCGATCCCCATCGAACGAGAAGGGGGGGTTGGGACGGATGAGGGGGCGTGCAGTGTTCGACTGCGGGCCAGCAGAAACACCTGGACCCACTGCCGGAGCTGGTGCAGGGGCAGGGGCAGGGGGTTGTGGTTGGTTGAGGAGCTGATTGAGTACGGCTTCGATGTTCTGGATGCTGGTCTCCAGGGCAGACAGTCGATGCTGGGAGTTGTCGTCTTCCATGCTGGTCGAGTGTGCCTGTGGAGGGGAGGAGGGGGCAAGAAAAGAGGTGACGGATTGGCGGTCTTGGTCGCTCGTTGACTCGTCTCCGCTGTTACTGTCGGCGTCGAACCTCGCAATCTTGACCAGTTATCCCTAGGAACACGGTTTCTGCTGTAAGGGCAACCTCGAGACCCAATCTCAGAGTTCTGGCAAGGGAGAATCCAAAGTGTCAATAGTGGTAGCTAGGTACAAGACCGGCATACCTGGCAAGGGAGAATCCAAAGAGAAACCGTGTTGGGGATTCTCCTTGCCAAGCGCCACTATTTATATGATACAAGAACAATAGAGCGTGCAGCAACAAACAAGGAACAATGGGAACAATAAGTACAACGGCCATGACAGAACAATGGGATGCGGAGACAATAGGAACAATGGGACAGCTGACCATGTGCCCATCAGAGAGAAGCGCTTGGCGCGGCAGTCCGGGCCGCGGCGCGTGACAGCTGACAGGTCACGCAAGCGCAATCACATGCCCGATCGAAGGCAGAGCGGTCTGAAGCGGGGGTTCACCTGACATTTGGTAAAAGAGTGAAGAGGATATAGCAGGCATAGCAATGAGGGATGCAGGGTAAGACGTATGAGGTAGGAGGGTATGAGGGGAGTCTTGAAATTATGTGACAATCAACCCAAAAACAAGTCGATAAGAGGAGTGAATTCCAAAACTGGGGATCTAGAGCATATATTGTGCACTGGAGATGGTCCTCAAGAATTTTCTTGTGCTCAGCAATGTGCTTTTGGAGGGCACAGAGGCGCTTCTTGGGGAGGTTGAGTTGATTGGATGCCATGGTTGCTTATATTTGGTATATTTTTGCAATCTGGCAATCATGGAATTTCCATTTTTGGCATAATGTATGGGTTTTGGACCCTGGAAATGGTCATGGGTTATGCGTTTCTGAGAATCTATGGGTTTTCCCCTTGGTTTCATGAGAAATCTATGGGTTACAAGAGGTTACGGGTTTAGAGGGGTATGGGTTAAGAGGGGTTTGACTGCACAAACAAGCTTCAACAACAGGAGCATCAAGCATTTGACTGAAGTAAAACTAATCAATTGGCAGATACACATCTGATCACATGGACTGATTGGTTTCTATATTAGGCCAGGGCAGTTTCATTGTGACAGGACCAATCAGTCCCAAACTAACCCCAATAGCTAAACACCCACAAGTCACATTGGTGTCTGCTCTACAACCTCCCAGACCTCTAGCCAAGGATTTAGGCAGCGGTGCTCAGGTCTGCCAATATAATTCTATAAGAGCACGGTACTAGGTTCTACCCTCCATAGACACCTTCCTGGTAGTTCATGGCTAGCCCACAGTCCCATCTCCTCAGTCAATTGCTCAAACCCGCATGTGGGACCTGTTCCCCACCACAGCATTGAAATTGGATAAGCCTATATTTATGCGTTGTTTGTATTCTCACAAATTTCACATTTTAGATGTGGGAAAATTAGAACCTTCAGCCGTAAAACGTTTTCACATGTGAAGATCTCACGGAAAAGATTTTCACTCAGGACTTCTCGGCATCAACCACTACTGACTAGTGCCGAGATGCCGGCTTCTAGGGCCGCTTTTACTGCTGTATGAGCCCTACTGAGGCGTGATCAATGGCGGATTAGGCGCATCAAGTTTTCCAGCGGAGTAAGGCTTGGTTTCTGTTCAGAGATAACATTTATGTCGCACAGTAGCTCGATCATGATAAGCTCACAACTGCTAAGTGCTACTGGAGAGAAATCATTGTCTGCGCGGCTTCCCTTCGTGTGACGATGGCCCGGCTATCGGGCCCTCGTTCGCCAAGAAGTC